TTCAACTTCCCCTCAATAAATAAATAATGAGAATCTTTCAATAGAAATTAACAATGGTCAAGTGCTCTTTCATGCAAAAAAGCGAATTCTTTATAAACTGCGCATTAAAGTATTGTTTCTTTTAATTTTCTAAAGTCTTGTTTCCCTAAAAGTTTCAGCACTTGGTTGCAGCATAACAAATGAACCTCCATCATCTACCTGAGTTGATTAAGATAAACCAAGAGCTAAAATCACAAGCGCATTATGTCTAAAGGGGATTCAAAACAGCCGCGAATTTTCGTGGGAATCGCATGAGTTGCATGCAACTCACATTAGCCCACACACCAACTGCCTGAACCATAAAATGAACCACAACTTTATTACTTCAAGTCAGAGCAATAATCTCACATCACTTAATCTAGAGTGCTGGAGTAAAACACACACACACACAAGAGAAGAAGGAATTCTTCTGTGGTTCAGTGAAATTAAGGCATGGAAAAAACACCAACACGGCTGAGTTTGAAGATAAATCAATCTCTCCCGAATGGCTACGGTTTTATGCAAACAGCAAGATCTGATTGCAACTATTAAAATCCACAATGTTAGGGTCAAAATCCTGAAATCTGAAAAAGAAATGCTGAGAAATCGACCTGTGGTTTTTTGTCACTAAAAACAAAGTCACAATACCCCCAATTTAAACAAGAGAACGTGTGAAGCTATAATGTACCATGAAATCTGGAAATTTTTGTGTGAGTTACTCCTATTAATTCAAGTCAGGTTTAATCATGTCAAGATATGATGGTAACTTGGTTGGCATGGCTTCGGCATTAGGCCGGAAATTTCGAAACTTGACCCTGTTACGTCTGGACAGTGCATCAGCAGCCTGGTGAAAGGGGTTATGCTTCTTAACTCTTGAATAAATTGGTTTCACTTCCAAATGCATTCCATAGTTGTGGGCCCTTTCTTTTATCTTCGATACCAATATCCTGATGCTCTCCTTTGACTTACAAGCATTGTTAACGCCCTGCACTACACCGCTATGATCACAGTAAAAGTGAACATGGTGGGCCGCCAGGCTTGGCCCAAAGGCTTCAATGCCACACAAAACTGCATAGGTTTCATAAAACAAGGTATTGCCACTGTATATCTTGTAGCACTCTTCAGTCCAGCGACCGCTCGCCCATCTGTTTCCCAAGACACAGCCAAAACCATAAAGGGGATGTGCATCTGAGTATATACTAATTGGCTCTTTACAAACAGTCTGAAGCCTGCGCCCCTGCTCTTGACATACTATGACATTATTGTCAGGGTTCAAAAGAGATAACTCGACCATTCTCCTACACTGCAGACTGCCTACACTGTGGATCCGCCTCTTGAGGGTTGCTAGATTCGGTTGATACAAGTATGCCAACTCTGTTTTCCAGTTCTCTAGAGAGGACAGTAGCCGTCTGTCAGGGGAGTGGCAAACAACAGTGGCGCATCTTGAGCCAGCGCTGGACAGCATACTCCGGACCTTCCTTGCTTGTTGAGACCACATTGGGGTAGATTCGTTTGATGTCACAGTGACTGGTATTAAGGCTACGGATTACCAAACTGCCTCCAGGTAGAGATGACTCGATGGTGGAGCTGAACAGTCTTTCAGTCAATGGAATTCTGTTCGTACTCTGCAAGAACTCTCTGGAATAATTCCTCGTCCACACGGTGTTTCATCAGGAACTTGCCGTTGAAATGGAAGACTGGGATGTCATAGCGATATCTGGCTAAGTACTCCCTGTTCTCCGGCTCGGTGATGTAAACCTCCTCCAGAGCAAACTGAAAATGTGAGAGTCACGATTCTAGTCTAGTTTGTCCCAATTTGGAAAAGATACCTTGTTAATAATTCGGACTTGGCAGCTGACCTTGTTACAACGGAAACGTTGTATTATCAGGAATGAAAACAATCAAGAACGAAGACTTTGGAACCTAAAAAATTTCCCTGTTCAAAGCAAAATTTTGTATGAACAGTGCTCTTATTAACAAGGTTGGAATGTAATAGTGCAAAGTACTGATACAAATCACACTCAGGTACTGATATGCTCACGGCAAGTTAAGCCGACCTGAAAATCTTAAGTTGAGCAACAAAAGCATCTACAAGTATCCTATTTGAAATTAAAAAAAACTTACCCACTTGCTCATAAATAGGTTATATGTTGTAACAGTTAAATCAATGCACAGCCAGTGATAAAGTTCTTAACTAAGCTCTGCTGCTTGTACCCTGATATGGTTTAAATTGTTACATTTTCATGGTTTTAGTACATGTACATCTCTTATATAGGATGCCTACTAAGACAAACATGAGTCACGGGAAGTGTTTACAACGCACTAAGCACTGTATTGCACAGAGGGGGAATCCCCATTTAAATGTTGACATTTCGGCAACAGATTCCTTTTTTAAACCAATATCGTGACAAACTTAATACGTGGAGAGACATGAATCTGTGAATACTGCCATTGTGAAAAATTTGCACTTCAGGTGCCAAGGGAAAGAGTGACTTTGCACCTTGTCAAATGCTCCATTGGTAGTGGGTTGCAATGACCATGATCTACCTTTAACAGACAATTGAGGAAGTGTCTAAATTCATGTGTGGGCGACACCATAGCACATACATGGTACAAATAATGTACTTTTTTCAATCACATGTGGGGGTCGTATCAATTTCCTGTGTTGTACTCTGAAATGCTACACTCTGCTTTCTGCCACATCTGAAGAGCTTACATTTTTTTAACACAAGTCATCGCTGTTTTCGTTAAGAGACACACATGTGGATTTGAAAGACAAGCTGGTTGTGGAGATAATCACAACAAATGTTTCTTTATTTAGAAAAAATCAAAATTGCAAAAACTAATACTTTGCAACAACTTCAAGTACCATGAGAACAGTGGTAAGGAAATCTATGAATCATTCTCTGAAAGGTAAACTTTTACATGAGCCCAGTAATTGGAATGAACGTAGTGGTTAATTAGCAAAGATGGGTATCCCTTCAAGAAAATGAAAATCCTCATTTTCCTACATTCTGGCCCTTGTGTTCAATGTGTTTTAACACGGGGAAGACGCACCCATGTACAATGTGCATGTATGTAATAAGGATGTATGTCCATACAGCTCATGAAAACAAAAATCAAGTCAAGTGTATGATGTGTTCAAATTAACGATAAAATGGAAATACAAAATTCTTATCTTTTCATTTCCTCTTTATGAAATTGGAGACGAAATGTAAAAATATCAGGATGGGGGTGCGGGGGGGTATGCATTTATACAGTTATTAGAAGAGAGGTGTCTTCACCCTCATCTTACTGTCGTTGCAACTGTAATTTCAAGAGATGAAGCGACGATTACCTGTCAAGGAAAAACTTCTTCCTGCCATTGTCATACTGAGGTTAACCAACGTGATTTTCACAATGAAAACCAAGTTCCAACAACATGTTACTCAGTTATTAGGTGGGTTCTGTTTAGTTTAGAGACACTGATCAATGTTGCTAATGCTATGTCATTGTCTTCCTGTTTGGGTCAGTTTGAACTGAAGTGAACACCATCAAGGCGCCGGTGCACATTTGTTGAAAATTTCTTTGTCTCAGACTGAGAGAACATTAAAATCACAGGGAAGTATCTTCTGACTGTACTTGCAGAGGACAGATTTTGAAGCTGTTTTGCTGAGCGATGTGTTTTGTTTGAAGTCAACTGAGAGGACATGAGAGGAAATGTCAAATTTAAACTTGGGAGGGAAACCGCAGTAACATTCTGAGGGAGACCTTGTTACTAGTGGGAAAAAAAACACAGAACAATGTGTAAATATTGATCAACTACATGTATGTCGACCACACAATCCCCCAAGTGATTTTACACTATACTGCATTTAACTGCAAAGATGAATCACATTCACGTAAAATCACGTAACATGATTATTTAACAGGGCATTGGTTATTGTTACCCGTATCATGACTAACATTGCAGCTTCTCTTCATATTTAAAAAAAAATCATTATTTGGGAGTTCACTTCCGCCAACAGAATGCTCAAGAGTAGAAAACAAATATATCGATAAGGGTGGCAAACAAATCTAGCGATCTGGTGATGTCACAACACTGCTCTAGTCCTCCAGAGACTCTTGACCTGGCGGCCATAATAGGGGGCTTTATAGCTCAAGCACGGAGAAAAACCAGGTAAAGTAAGTTAGATGTCATTCTCGGCAAGTGACCATGCCATCTGCTTGATATTCATCAGGGGGTTACTCCAGTTCAAATTGGGATGGCTGATTTTTATTATACAATCCAGTGTTGAGCAACACTGTTGATGGGAAAGTATTTCAAAGTCACTGTCACTGCCTGACACTGTTTAATTCAAGCTTAAGTGGGAGCGAGCACAGCGCTCACGCATGCGGGCGCATTCATCCCGAAATAATGATACAGTCGTTGCAGAGCCGTAATGTGGCATTATCAAACCAGGTTTCAATTGGATGCTAATGACGACTTTTGTTTTCATTTTGCCTGATGCATGGATGAAGGACTTCAACTCATGCTTTTGACGTCAGTAGCAATCTTAGTTTTTACATAAAAGATAATATAACTAAATTTCATAAAAAGTGAAATTGTGAATTACAAATGTGATTGATTTTTAACACCTGCTCACTGACATCCATGTTAAAGTCAGAAATGCCCATTGACATAATTCTGTAGTACCAATAGGCTGATATCCTGAATGGGTATGCGAGGGGAGGATTCATTGGGTTACCAATGATTATAAAACAAAAAATAAGAACATGTCTCACCCTGCCAGTGTATTTCTGTAAAACTCCTTTAGCATCATCACACAGTGGGCAGTTGTCCTACCAGAGTGAAAGAAAATAAAAAGTAATGATAATGTTTTATTATTTATTCATTTTTATGTTTTGACACACGTTAAAGAACAACATTTGGATTTGCTTTTGTACCCTAACCTATTGACAGACATACATACATGTACTATAACATAGGACAATACAAGACATGAACATGTTTTGGCAATGATACACATACGGACGAACACTGACAGGCAGGAGACAATACAACACATCAAAATCCAAGTCTAGTCAATACAGGTGATGTATTCAGAAAGTATTAGATTTTTCAACTTCAGAGCAAATGTTAAAGTGGGCACTGCTTTTATAATTTCATTCAGGCTATTCCAGTATTGGACACCGCATTGTACAAGACTATTTCTGTGTGGGAAGATGTCGATGAATATTATTAAATCAGGGTAATGCCACCGTCTTGAGTGATCCACATCCTCTACACAAAGCCACATGGGAAAAAAAGAGGACCAAAAAATTGAACTTATAAATAAGAGTACCATCTCTCACAAAATCACACCAACACACTAACAAGCAAAACTAAAACAATAAATTCAATAATGCAAGTTTTTTGCAATTTTTGTCCCAATTTGCAGTAGACATGTACTAGTACATGTACATACTGTATGTACAAACCACCATCATGGGCCTTCATTTTTAAGCACTCACTTGAATGTAAAGACAAATACATACACGAATATGTAGATACCACAACATTTGGCAAATGAAAAGTTCCACACAAGGTGTGTCTGTGTCATGTCCTGTGAATCTATGACACGAGGCCATTGCCCTTGCCCACGTTTGTGGTAAATGGAATGGTGAGCCATACATGCTGGGATGCCAACATAAACATGATCTCGTACCTCACAGTACTGTGTCAAAACAATGATGAGTTGGCAATGGTTGATACGGCAAAAAACGCAAACATATGCCACAAAGCGTTTCGCCTTTTACGCAATGACTGAGTGGGAAATGTAGGAAAGAACGAAACAAAGGGTCTTTGAAGCCTCAACTACATGTAATGTTAAAACTTTAACAATTGACAAGTGACTGCTTTTGTTTTTGAAATTCTGGAAAAGGCTGATACTTTTGAAAAGGAAAAAAAAAAGGTACTTAATGAAGCAATGCACAACCGAATAGGGAGAAACTGACATAGAAAGTACTGGGACATCAACTTTCAGTCTGCCCTCTATTAAGATCAACTGAGCTGCTCTGGTGGGATTTCAAGCTATTCATGGTGACAGATAACTAAGATGGAAAACTTGCGGTAAACACCATGCAATATCTCTTTTTTGAGTCTGTGTGGTTCTGATCAGATCACGCAGTAACCACTGTTGCACCACAGCTGTGGCAACTGTGCATATACATGTACATGTAGTACAGCAGCTGGGTCAGCTAAACTATAATTGGGACTGATCTTATAGTTGGACTAAAACAATCTTGCAGTTGTACAAATAAGGCACAGAAAAGGTTGGCTGTCCAATTTCACCCTATGCAGTTTGTAACAGCCCTAAAGCCCTACCTTGGTGAACAGGGTTAAGGTTGGCACCTTCGTGTGACTGGAGAAAGCAGTGCAGGACACGAGGATGTATTTGTTAGCACATTGATATACCAATGGTGCTAGCACTGCCAACTTCTGCGGACTGACACAGACAGCCATGCTGTTTATCTGCAGGGTCAAAGCAAAGGCAAGAAATAGCATTTCTCACTTAAACTCAATCATCTCTGAAGACAATGTATACATGTACATGTATTTGTACAATGTGCATGTGTGTAAACAGTCCTTTAAACACTGTGACAATCCATGGTCAATGTACCACTGGCAAAATATTTGCTGGAACATAATACAATTACCAAGTAATGCACTTGTACACATGTTAAAGAAAGACCCATGTGTACAGTACTTCCACCAACATGTACATGTACATGTATGTGTACATGTATTTACATACCGGTATATAGTCATTTCAATATTTAACAGCCTGCAAGGGGTCTAAGCCCTATGACTTTCAGGCTCTGACAGCTGAGAGGAGCTGCCGGGTACCCTGGTCATGAATTACACAAATTCTATAAACAATTAGTGAATCATGAAAAATTAACACAAAAAAATTCAAGCAGAAAGGAGGGATGAAAAAAGTCACGATGATTTCAAGTTTCAACTGAAAATGAACTCGAATGGCTGACATTTTCTCTGACACCAGGTACACGTACTAAAGGCAGAAATTGACCAACACGTCTGTTACCTACATGTGTGTACATGTACATGCAAAGTTACTGTAATTTTTGTACATATTTGCATGTGACTTGACATTTACACAATTTGAAAGCTACAAAAGTGCACTTCTTTTGAAGAGTGTACGTTTACATTTTACTACCACAAGTAAGAAACAAGAAAACACATGTTCATTAATTTGATGTAATTGACAGTTTACTGATTAACTACTGAAAACTACACTGTAAATGAGCAGCATGAGTCACATCCTAAATATTAAACAGGAGCATGACAAGTGTTTGTCACAATATGTTGTAGGTGGTCACAAAGGGGCACAGGAGGCCGTGGCCCTGCCTGTTCCAAAATCATGCAGGCTATTCTTTTTGAAAATGTAATTCACTTGCATTCACCTGTGATGTCAGAGTGCCCTCTGGCATGACATTGTCAGGTCTCAAGTTGTGTTATGCCCCTACTGAATCTCTCTTACTAACATGTACTAAAGTTGGGCCCATGGGTGTCATGAGGAAGGGCAAGGTGGGGTTAATCATGTAAATCCCCCCCCCTGAAAAAAAAAGTTTCAGGAGATCAGGTCAAGTGGTGACATTCTTCAGCTCCAGGATGACCTCAACACCATCAGTGATTGGTCTAAAAAGAACTTGTTTGCTCTCAATGCCATAAAAGTCAGTACAGCTCTTACCAGGACAAAACAACAACTTTATCCTTCCTTGTATGTTTTGGATGGTACTCTCATTCAAGAGGTAAAAACCCATATATTAATAGGTGTCCATACACAGCATAACTCATGCTGGGATGAGCATTTACAGTATGTCACTACTACGGCCTATAAGACCCTCGGCTTCATGGGTCATGTTATGGATGATTGTAAAACAATGACCTTCCTTGCCTTGTACAAAGCAATTGATATGCCCATTTTTGATTATTGTTCTCCTGCTTGGCCTATGTATGGAGCTGGACATATTGCTCAGCTTGAAAAAGTTCAAAGGTATGCCACTCGTCTCATTTTGCATCAACGTAGACAGGAGCAACCTGAGCATGACGAGAGTTTTATGTTTATGAAGTTTGTGTGTAAGCAATTGCTATTTGGTAATTTGTGCAATTGCCATCCCTCATTTTTGAGTTTAATTAATGTTAACACTACAGCAGACATGCCAATAAATTTCACCATCAGTATGCTCGCACTGATGTATTCAAGTACTCCGTTCCCTGCATGTTTGTCAGGAATAGGCGTACTTATCCTGACGGTATGGTCAACGTGTTGACTTATGAGTCTCTGTCTGCTTTTTTGTACAAATTTAAAGGCTACCTTAAATTGTAATTATAATGTGCTGCTTGCTCTGGCTTACTGTGGGTTGGTCAACCTCAACATATTTTCCTTTTAGTGGGTGGTGCCGTGGGAGTAATTTCCTTCCTTGTTGTCTCTCTGCTTAGTCTTTGTCATCTTTTATTTATTACGATTGCTGTTCTCCTTTTTATTATCTTGGTTTTCTTTTCCACGATCTCTTTCTTCCTCTCCTTGTCTTTTCTCTAGTGTGTGTGGCCGTGCTGTGTTTACATGTAGGTGGGATTTGTTGCTGTGATGTCCCTCGTTTTTTGCTTGTGTGTCTGACTGATTGTTGTGCAAGGTCGGAGTGGCACGCCCTTTTGGCAAAAATGACATTTTTCACTCTTGTTTTCCTCCAAGGCAGTCCTGCACTGTCCTCGTTTTTTTCTTATGTATGTCTGTCTTGTCTGTCTCTTGCTTGATCATTCCTCGTCTTTTATTGATTGACTGTCTACATGTGTGCCTCCTTTTTCAATCTGTATTGATCCTCTTTTTATATTATAGTTTGGATTTTTATTGTATGTATATAGCGTGTTGTATCTGCCTGAATAAAATATTAAAATAAATACAAAAGGAAAAGGGAAAAGCGAAAGAAGTGACTGAATAGAAGAGATAAAAGTGGGCAAAAATCACAAATTTGCAGGAATAGAACTCAAAGTTGACTCCCTGCCACTGTAGGCCTGGCAACTCATCGGTGACTAACGCTCTACATGTAAGTAACAGTACTGCACTCTACGAATCGCCAAGTTTTATTTTTAACATGTTGAA